AGATCACAAGTTCAAAGTCAGCCTCGGCAACTTATCGAGGCCCTAAGCAATTCAGTGAGACTCAGTGAGTTGAATACAAAAAGGGCTGGGGATGTGACTCAGTGGTTGAGTGCCCCTGAGTTCAATGCCTGGCACTGCCCCCMAAAAAGATTATTCCAATAAAAAGCTCTCTACATTATTTCTATATACAGCCTGATGAAACATCTACTCTGCTGTCATACACACCTTTAATTTGCCTTTAATACAGTGTATTTTTGTCTCTTTTTTGTTTGGAAGCTCCTCAACTCAACATTTACTGAATATAAATTATGCGGGGCACCACACATTATACTAGGTGCAAATAAATAACTCTGTGTCCCTGTCCTTAAAACCTTACAGTTTGGTTAAGATAATCTGAAAATAATAACAACAAAGTGAAGTGATATAGGTACTATAGTGTCTCAGGAACACTAAGACTCAATTTATTCTTTCTGGGTATGGTATTGAATCAGAACTTATAGAAGGGACTTACAGAAATATTTTTGCATCTCTAAAATCCCTCAAAAATACTTGGTAAGGACCATCTGCAAAGGTGGCATATTTAGATCTCCTTGACTCACCTGGCTTTTATTTCTATCCATTTCAAGACTCTACTCCCAAGTCTGCTTACTAGATCATGTTAACATAGATATGCTCTACCTCAAACTGTTCACTCTAATATTCAACCCATGACCACAATATTTAATCTTTTTACATTTTTCACCATAATTTTACCTCATCAAATCCTCCACTTTATCTCAGTTCATTTTCATTTATTGTATTTTTGCATATTTCTATTGTTGTAATTATCCAGCATTCATTATTATATAAAAATGTGTCTGCTTTTTCTATTAGATATAACTTTCTTTAGAACAGATAATAGATTTTCTTTCTCAGTCCTGCATCCTTAACATCCAGCACAGTGCCTGACCCAGAAATACTCAATAAATGTTTAGTGAAGGAATAGAGTGTTCTGGCCATTTTTGCCACTACATTATGAGCTCCCCAAGACAGAAACTGTATTACCTGCAACTACCTATAATTCACACCAGAGTGCCTCACACATATCAAAAGCTCAGGTAGTATTTATTGAATTAGGGCCTTTATAAGGTTTTAAATGTTCCCTGATTTTCAGTATTATTACTTTAACAATAATTTAAGTTAACCACATAGTTATTAAGCAAATGTAAAAAGTTTATCACAAGAGATAGAAAGGCAAAATAATTTATGAAAGAGCACTATGTAAAGTCAGGAGGTCTGGGGGCTGAAGGTGTAGCTTAGTGGTAGAGTGCTTGCTTAGCATCCATGAATGAGGTAGGTGCTGGGTTCCATTCCCAGTAAAACACACATGCAGTCGGGAGGCCTGTACTTCAACTTTAACTTTGCTACTAACCATGTGATCTTCAAATAACCATCTCTGAAARTCTTAATTTTCTTCTATATTAAAAAAAGGGTTGATCAGAATTAAGAGTCTAGATTATCATCTCCAACTTGCTAAAAAACCTGTATACAAGTAAAATATACAATATAAAAATTGAACCAGGCTAGGCACAGTGGTACACACCTGTAATTCCTAAGACTCAGGAGGCTGAGGCAGGAGGATCACAAATTTAAAACCAGCTCAGTAACTTAGTGAGACCCTAAGCAACTTTGTGAAACCCCGTCTCAAAAACAAAAAATAAAAAGGGCTGGGGATGTGATTCAGTTGTTAAGTGCCTGTGGGTTCAATCTCTGGTACAAAAAAAAAATTGAGCTGGGTGTGGTGACACAGACCTATAATCCCAGCAATTTGGGAGGCAGTGGCAGGAGGATAAGTTCAAAGCCAGCCTCAGCAACTTAGCGAGACCCTAAGTAATGTAGTGAGACTCTGTCTCAAAATAAAGATAATAAATAAAAAAGGGCTGGTGGCTCAGTGGTTAAGTGCACCAGGGTTTAATTCCTGGTGTGTACACACACAGGCACATATAAAAATTGTACATGCCTTTGTGAATTGTTTAGGTAAAAAAAAAATTCCACTTTCAACTCTGTTTTCATAACTCATTTCCCAGAGAATCCACTCTCAAGTGTATCTCTAAGGCATTCTTTATGCATAAGCTAATGCAGTACTGCATCAAGATTCTTGATTATACCAAGTGGACAGGTCTATAAACTCTCATAGAAACTTGCCAAAAATGAAAGAAAAACTATAAATTCTTTGATTATCTATTCAGAAGGACAAGAGTAGAAAAATTAAAACAAAGTATTTAAAATTTTATGTGTCACACTGTATTTATGTAATATGTAAGTAAAAGGCATATAATGAGAAAACAAACTAAAGGATGTTTGATCCAGTGGTAGAGCACTTGCTTAGAATGCTCAAGGCCCTTGAGCACCACCAAAAGAAAGAAAGAAAAAAAAAGATGAAAGAAAAACAAAGGAGAAGACAAGAAAAAGATTCCAGATGTAAAGTTCCTTTACAGAAAGAAATGTAGAAGGCATGGGAACGGTGGGTAAAGGAGAATCATATCGATGTTACAACCACCAGATAATACAAAAAGAGCCATAAAATTCACAAATTATAAATAAAATAGCAAACACATCTTTTAAAAACACAGAGCTTAAGGTTAGAACCAATTGTACAAAAGGAGGTAGCTGTTTTCCTATACTAAATTCAGTCCAGAGACAAATATGGACTAACATTAGGTCCTCAAGTCTCTTGATAACAGCATCCTCTGAAGATCTACATCTAAATCTAACCAGATTAGTGAAATAATTATATTTCCAACCAGCTGCCTGTAATAGTGGTGAAAATATATCACAAGATGATAGTTATCCTGATAATTTTTTAAAGTATAGAATGAATGAGAAAAAGCAGGTTACTGAGGAACTAGGAAGCTAGATTCCCAAAAATAGGAAAAAATGCTATCTAATAGCAGAACTGCTAATTTCCCTTTCATCTGGATACCAAAGAGTAGGGAAATTTAAGTAAGGAATGTGTTACATAAAGAGCTAAGCTTTAATTTCTGAACCCACATAAACAACATAGATTTCACCTAGACAGGTCCCCAGTTTTACCTGAAGAGTGTAAGACTAAACTGCTCTAGACTGCAAGGAATGCTTAAAGATAACAGGAGCCTGGAGAAGGATCCTCTTCTGTATGTCTAACACATTATTCAGAGAGTCCACTTTTTAAAAAGAGAGTAAAAATACAATTCTATAACATGTAAATTACAAGTCTAACAACATTCAACCATAAATTACCTAATGATAATTATGATATAAACAATTAACACTATTATAGTCTCTACTTGGTCTTTACCTGGTCTTTTTATCCTGATATGATGAATAAAAACTRAAAGTACAATTTAGAATTATTTGGAGAGACAGAGGAAATGATAAATTATTTTTTATTCCATAATATAATTTTAACACAGTGTACATATAATTGGGTAAGGTTTGTCAAGAAGTTGAAGAGAGTTAAGTCCAAGAATCAACCTGTAGTATTTTCATAAAAGAAGAAATGAGTGGGCTGGGGTTGTGGCTCAGTGGTAGAGCGCTTGCCTACCATGTGTGAGGCACTGGGTTTGATTCTCAGGCACAGCATATAAGTAAATGAATAAAATAAAGGTCTATCAAAATCTAAAAAAAAAAAAAAAAGAAGAAATGAGTGAATTCTAGAACTACAAGCTTTACCAAATCTACCTTATTTTTAGAAATTAGACACACATACAGAATTAAGGAACTAAACTCATTCTGGTTTCCTGAACTCTTTAGGTTAAGAGGAACAATATTTTCTGACACCAGAAAATGTTATGTCACCCTTACTTTCATAAGTCAGTGGCTGAAGGTATGGTTTTCAAATTTGAGTAGAATATCCTTTTGTTTGTTTGTTTGTTTACTTTTGGGTACCAGGGATTGAACTCGGGGGCACTTAACCACTGAGCCACATCCCCAGCCTTTTTGTTTTTCATTTTGCGACAGGGTCTCCCTAAATTTCTTAGGGCCTTGAGAAACTGCTGAGGCTGGCTTTGAACTCGCAATCCTCCTGCCTCTGCCTCCAGAATTGCTGGATTATAGGCATATGCTACCTTGCTTGTCCAGTCTTCAATTCCTAAGGGAAAAATTTATTACTAGAAAGATTATGTTAGAATACAATATAAAACTGAGTATAATAGCAGTGTAGCAGTTTCAACTTATTTACTTTGGAGTCTGAAAAATGTTATGATCACTCCATTCCCATTAAATCAAATGAAAATTTCTAAGTTAGCTGACAGGCTGGTTTAAGAAGCTAAAATTCTGCAATGGTCAACATGACCCAGAGGTAGATTGTGTGCTACTTTCTGACTACAAAGACTCAATACAGTACTCAGGTCATTTCACCTCAAGCTCAAAGTGACAAAAATCAAGTGGGAATCTAAAAGCCTCCTTAGAACTTCTTCATTTGGCAGTGACAGGACATCAGATATTTTCACTACTGCCCTGAGTGACCTTAGCTACTTGAACCACTGTCTGTATAAAAATATAAGTTTGAAAAAAGGAATTTTGTGATGCCCATATTAAATTTTTGAAAGAAAGCCACTAAGATATGATCAATAATTTCTCCTTGTAATTGACCTTAAAAGCAGACTATAAGAGTTAAAGCCTCAAAGCTGGCAAGAAAGCACATCTCCAAATCACTAAATTTTACCCTTTAGGATTTTCTTGTAAAAAACAATTCGTTTTCACCAAAATAACCATTTCAATTCTAAGGAGGCGAAAATGAGGAAGTCAAAATATGCATTTACTTTCTTTCTTGCTACACACCTTCCCACATAATAAACTACTACCGCATTGACCCATTATGGTAACCATTATTCCAAAGGGCCATAAGCATCACAAAAAGAGGAGCCATCATTGGTTCCTAATGATTACAGTAAAATGGGAAAATGCCCTCCCAGTAGATGGTCACCCTGCATAAATAACCCCATAATAAAAGTATCCTATTCTCTTGAGTTTCTACTTACCCTCCGAAACATCCTGGGGGTTAGAAGTCCGATCACTGGCAGGATCCAGGGCAACAGTTGCCAGTGAAGTGGTGGCCCCAGACATCTCACTCATGGGCTCACTACGGCTTGTTTCAGGCACACTCTCCCGAGAGCTAAATCTTACTCGAGAACTAGATCGAGAGCTGAGATCCGGGCTGGTATCTGACAAACCTGGAATGTCATCAATCTTTGTTGGTGTCACCATGAACCGAACTGAAGCCATTTTGGTGGTGGTTTCTGGAGGATGCATTTTTCTTTTCCTTTTTAACAAAGAATAAGGAAAAACCTCACAAAAATCTTCCTCCCACACTAGCTACTTTTGATTGCAAAAAATAGAAAACTTAAAAAAAAAAAAAACAATTACCTTGATTCACATCCCACAAAAAGCCCCGAATAAGAATCCCACGCAGAATTCGAGCTTAGAAACTGCACTACCAACAGCTGAAAATATTTTGAGAAACAAAAACATAAAAAACAATGTCAATCTTGTGTAACTTTGCTCCTTCAGAATGAAGAGCTTCCTACCTATCTCCTCTGGTTCAGAGCTGAGGGCTCAGTGCCATGGTCTCACAGCTGCAGGTGAGGCCTTCTATACCCCTCAACCCTGGGTTTCTCTAGAGCTAGTTAGTCTTTTATCTGGTGAGTGTTCCACAGTCCTAGCTGAGCAAAGTGCGTGCAGGCCCACCCTAATCAGGAGAATACAGCGTGGATCAGATTGAGAAAAGGTGTGCACCCGGCCACCTGTTGTGTATCAGGTGAATACCCCACAGGTCTGGCTGGGAGGAGGTGTGTGAAGAGCCACCCGATGTTTTTTAAGTCGATAATCCACTTGGGTCTGGTGGAAGAGGTGCGCATGCATAACGGGGAAAATAACCCACACAGTGTATGGAGAAGAATGAGAAGAGAAGGGTGAGAGAGCAAGATGCAGGGCAGAGCGGATTCCTGCCTCCAAGAGGTTGCGGGGGTGGCACGCCCGCTCTTCTTCGGAAGACAGGTCCTTGGGATCTGTAGGAGGCAAACTAATCAAGACACCTCGGACAGTAGTTCGGGGTCGTGGCAGATCGTTGCTAGTCCGCTGAGCCCACAGTCAGCTCCTTGGGTCTCTGCTGCATGACAAGACGCGCCACCCCTTGGCCGCAGACGCTTTCTCCACCCCAGCGCAGGTCAGCCCGGTCTTTCTTGGGTCCTACCCCGACGAGACGGCCACGCAAAGTGGCCTTGACTGGGCAGGAAGGGGCGGCAGGGCTGAGCAAGACGAGGTCGCAGGTGCGGGCTCCAGCGCCAGCTGATGCGGGTGCGCGCGCAGCTGTTGTTTACTAGCCGGTAACTGTTTCGGAGCCGCGGTGCTTAGGAGGGCTCGGGCTGCGGATAGGGCGCCCCCTCCACGTCCAGACGCCAGCGTGGCCGTTACGTGACCTCGCCGCCCCCCGCCCCGGGCCCGGCGGGCTGTGCCCGCGCCGCCGCAGCCCTCCTTTTCCCTCCCCGCTCGTTCCTCATTCGAGGTTAACCGTCCGGAGAAGCCAGGGGAGCAGTTGGAGGGCGGCACCGTCCCGCGGGCTCCTGGAGCCCCGCCCAGAATCTTCAGCCAGCACAGCGCGCAGCGCGCCTGCGTCCGCCCGGGCTCAGCGACGAGGGGCACGCCGGGAACTGCAGTCCGCCGCCCTGGAGGCGTGCGGGGGAAGTTACGCCTCCCTGCGGGTCACTGAGGTGCACACTCGCTCCCAAGACCTCAGAGAAGCAGGCGAGGGCCCTCAGACTCAGGTCCAAGAGCTATTTCTCTCTTCTAAGAGCGTCTCTGACAACCGTTTGTGAATCCTTACACTTAAGCCTCCCTGTACCTATTCTTAGGTATGACCCTCATTGTAAGTTTTAGGGAGAGTTCTTTCTTTTATACTCGGGATTGAACCCAGGAGTGCCTTATTACTGAGCTACATCTCAGGCTGGCCTCTAACTTGAGACCAATTCGCTGAGATTACAGGCGTGCACCTCATGCCTCGGTATGTAGAGATCTTTCTAAAACATTGTATCACATATACACAATTCTGTATGCTTCATCGCCGCCCCTATGTTTCCGTCCTACTATTCAAAACTTTCTATGTTCACCTACTGGTCAGATTTAAAATTTTATTAAAACAAACGTCTTTAGAAAAATCATTGAGATATTTTCTCTTGAATCAATTCCCAATGTTTGTCCTATCACATTTACTGTCTCTGGACTATTTTTCTTATTTACTTAATGCATTAATGGCGACTTAATAAATATTGGTTCATCAATGTTTTGAATTTTTTCTATAACTGATCAAAACGTCTAAACTTCAGAAACTAGCCCCCTTCTTTGTCTGGGTTCTTGCTCCTTATAAGTGTAAATATTTAAGTAGTGTCTGCTTTAAGACCTGACCCTGGAAATTCCGTTTTATAAAATGACTAAGTCCAAAGTCTAGGTAAAAAGAATCTGGTAACAAAAAGATAAATTCTCATTTAAAATCTAAACCTGGGGCTAGGGCTTAGTTTGGTAGTACAGCGCTTGCCTGCTATGCCGCAGCACAGGATGGGGAGTAGGGGGATAAAAATTTCCTCAAACTCAATTCTTTACAGAGCCTGATTTTTAATTTAGGCTTACAGCTTTCTAACTTGAGGAAGCAAGAAATCCGTCTCCCAGATGGATCATATTTTTTTCCTCAGGCCCATTATTGCTGATGCAAACCTCCTAGACTTTCTTTTAAGAAAGGAATGCTGGATCTTTGCCTCCCTTGGTACCTGGAACTGAATCCAGCAGTGCTTAACCACCAAGCACATCCCCAGCCTTTTTTATTTTGAGACGGTAGTCTTGCTAAACTGCTGAGGCTAGCCTTGAATTTGCTATCCTCCAGTCTAAGCCTCCCCAGCTTGTGGGATTATAGGAATGGCCACATTGCCCGGATTGAAATGCTGGATTTTTATACTCAATTTTTTTTCTTTATCATAGCCTACTTGCATTTCAACCTGCTTACCTCTAACCAGCAGTAATCAAGATCTATAAATAAGGCTTGGCTGGGCAAGGCTGTAATTCCAGTTATTCTGAGGCCGAGGCAGGAGTATTACAAATTCCAGGACTGCCTGAGCAACACAAAGACAGTGTCTCAAATTTTTTAAAAAATAAAATAAAAAGGGCTGAGGATGTAGCTCAGTGGTAGAGCACTCCTGGGTTCAATAATCCATAAATCTCATGTTAATACCCAGGGGACTCTTTTTTTTTTAATTAACAAAACTGGGGATTGAACCCAGAGCTTTATGCATACTAGGCAAATGCTCTACCACTGAGCTATATCCAAAGTCTTTTTATTTTGAATCAGGGTCTCACTAAATTGCCCAGACTGGCCCTGAATTTGGGATCCTCCTGCCTCAGCCTCTGGAGTAACTGGGATTACAGGGGTGCTCTGCTCCTAGGAGATCTCTTAAACCCTTGGTATACTCATGCCAATTTGCCTTTTCTATATTTATTAGGAATATATCCAGATTAAATTATTTTTATCTCAGTCTATACAACTGGAGGCATAGAACAAAGCTAATCTTTTGTTTTTTTAAAAAAATATATAAGATAAAAACATAATTAGCCAGGTGCACTGGCACAGGACTGTAATCCCAACTACTTTGAAGATTAAGAGAGGAGGATCCAAATTCAAGGTCACACTGGACAATTTAGAGGGACCCTGTCTCAAAAAACAAACAAACAAACAAACAAAAAAACCCAGCTGTATCCCAGCAATGCAGGAGGCCAACGCAATAAATTAAAAAAAAAAAAAAATGGGCTGGATGTAGTTCAGTAGTAGAGCATTTGCCTAACCTGTGAGGTACTAGTGGGTTCGATCCTGGATACCAGAAAAGACAATTTGGACTGCATTCAATATTGAAAAAAAACTGGCAGAATTTACCTATTAACTTTAGTTGTTAAAAACTTCCACTGCAGATCCTTTTTCTAGTCATCTGCAGTTTTTAACACTTCTTTGTTTTTGTGATCCTGTGGATTAAACCCAGGGCTTGCTGGGTACAGTGGCACAAGCGTCACCTGTAACCCCAGCAGCTCAGGAAGCTGAGGTAGGAGGATCACAAGTTCAAAGCCAGCCTCACCAAAAGCAAGTGTTAAGCAACTCAGTGAGACCCAGTCTCTAGCTAAAATAMAAAAAAAAAAAAAAAAAAAAAAGGACTGGGGGTGTGGCTCAGTAGTTGAGTGCCCCCTGAGTTCAATCCCTAGTTGGCCCCCCAAAAAACCCAAAACCAAAACAAAAAATAGGGTTTCTCTACCACTGAGCAACACCCCCCAGCAATTTCTTTCTTTTTTCTTTTTTTAAATTTTGAGACAAGATCTAAGTTGCCCAGGCTGGCCTGAAACTTGTGCCTCCTGCCTCAGCCTCCTGAGTTTCTGGGATTATAGGAGTACACCGTCATGTCTGGCTAAYACTTCTTCATCCCTTTAACAGGAAAAGATTAATTTTAAATCTCTCACATGCAATGCTAAAAACCCTGTAAATGAACCAGCTAAGAAATAAAATTGCAGACAGAGACAAATATCTCATTTCACCATTCTTGTACTTGAAAATCATGTCTTCTGTTAGTCATGGTCCAAATCCATAGATTTTTTTTTCTATTTCCCATCAGCACTCAACAAATATGCTGAACTTTTTTTTTTTTTTGCCTGAACGGTTATTCAGCAGAGTCCAAGACAAACACATCTACTCCTTTCCAAGGTCAGTCTTCATAAATGACATGTGTGCTAATTTAAGTTACATCTGCTTCTGGAGCCCCGACTTTTTATGTGGTTGAAAAAGATTGCAGAATTACAATACAGTCTCCACAAAGCAATTTAAAATCAGTGGCATTAAGCAAATGTATTCAGATCCAGTATCAAAAACCAGGAATGAAAAGACTGGGAAATAGTTGATTAACTTGAGGATAGGAATAAGCAAACTAACATTTCTTGACTGTCCATATAATATTTTACCTATCACTCTAATATGAACTAATATGATAAAAAAAATTGCTCCATGATTGAAGTTCAAGTCCTGAGAAACTTCTAGCACTCTTTTTAAAATTAAGCCCCAACAGTAGTTTGAAAAACAAAAATCCCTGCTTGAATCTCTGATACTTCATCTTTTAAATTAAAATATGTGGGAAGTTCCACATAATTCCTAGCTGCCAAAGAGAAACTAAAGGTAGGTGTGTGTAAAAAAAACAACTAGAGAGAACTAAACCTAGGAGTATTTCCAGAGGGAGAACAAATAAGTTTAAAGTCATCCCTATTTATATCAACTGGACAAACACTGTAGATACATTGAGATCCACTACTAAACCCTTTCAATTTCAAAGTTGGGAGAGAACTTAGAAAATAGAGAAAAAGAGAACTAAATAGGTTAAGTAACATTATCAAAGTTATACAAAGAGAGGAGAATAATATGAGTGGCCTGACTTCCAACTGACTGCCTTCACTCTAAAATACGTCTAAATATTATATTTTAAAAAAACTCAGTTTGAATCTAAACAATGTTAAAGGAGCAAGAAATTACTTGGATATTTTTCAGTGAATACTGACATTTCTGGGAGTCTTTCTCAACCTCTTCTCCATCCCTAAACTGTCCTGTCATTCACTGAAACTGCACTACAGTTACAGGCAATAACTGAAATTTTTCTTTCAAGTCGTCTTTTTATAACTACCAGTGGTAGTCTCTCCCTCATCCTCCTCTCATTAAAAATAAAAATTACCAACCTTTTCTTCAACAAAACAGAAAATGAGCTCTTTCAAATCATTTTATTTTTAATAACGTGGCAATAATTCAAAATATGAAAAACGTGTTCCCTTTAAAGAGGATGCCACCATGATGGCCTCATACAAGCATGATCAAAGGCAATCGGAGAAAACTGGATTCCAAAGGGCATGGGTGGTTGGGTTWCRGATTCTTCGAAGCAGGCGACAGACGAAACATGAAATTTAAGGGACCCTCAGAGAACAGGGCGCGGTTGCTGAGTCATGAGCACCTTGAACCGTTTCTTGATGGTGATTCGGTGTCGCGAGTATTTGTCGTCCGGGGAGAACCGAGCAGGATGGGCTGAGCAGGTCTGTTGTCCCATAGGGTCAAATTTCTGCTCGAGGAAAAAGGAAAATGATCTCAATACAAGAGTGATGAAGTAAGCCTGGGGATACAGCTCAGTTGACAGAGTGCTTGCCTTGCATGCACAAGGCCCTGGGTTCAATCCCAGCACACACACAAAAGAGTGATGGGACTTGGAGAGAGCAGCACCGAGACACGACGGTCAGATGGAGAAGCTGCGCACTGCGTTTCTACCCGCCTCGGTGCCAGACTTTCTGGTACCCCGCACCCAGACAGGCAGCTCGGAGGCTGGCCTCAACCGCTCTTCCCACTTACGAAAAATGTTTCTCGTCATGCCCACTTACAACGTTTCCTCTTCTTACCTTCAGTGTGTAGACTCGATCTCCTTGCTCATTGAGATAATACTGGAGAAACATGACCACGTTTAAACCTGAGGCTCCAAGTCGGTCTGCRACACGTGTCTGTCAATTTCCTTCCTGTGTCGCCGGAAGACTGCMCCGAGGGATGCCGGGAAATGTAGTCCATTTTTTTGCCTTATATTCAGCAGGCCAGAAGAGGGCACAATGGTGCAGCATTTGGCCTGTGACGCCAGTTGCAACCTTGCAGGCTTTCTAAGACCCATAAAGTGTGCCCACTGTGTGCCAGGTACTAGTAGTCGTTTGAGAGAAAGGTAGGGATGGATGTGAACTGAATATTGCTGTGTGCAGTCCTGTCTTTATCTAAAGATGCACACCCATTTCAGAGGCAGTGCCTTGCTAGTGTCTAGAGAAACAAGGGCTCTGGGATTCAGAATCCTTTTAAYCCTAGGGAAGAAAAAAGATCCCACTTTTACATCCGGTTCCTCCGCTTCATTTCAAAGTATTGGCGGTAAAGAGTGCATGATGGGTATTCGATATTCTGCAAAGCGAAGAGAGCGTAGTAAAGTTATTTTATGAAGTTGGTGATGTTCTAGTAGTCGAACCAAGATTCAAACTCAGGCCTCTTTACCGCAAATTCAACGTTCTTATAGTGGTGAGTAATGAATTATAGTGTCCATTCTAGTAGTATATCAAACTTTTAAAAGAACGTAGAAATTCTTCTTATAGGATTCTAAAGAAATAAAAATTGGAACCAAGTTGTCATTTCAGAGATGATGGCAAAGACGTTGGGACATGTTGATTTTGTAACCAGAAAAAACTGAAAAAATATTACTATTATTATTATTATTATTATTATTATTATTTTGAGACAGGGTCTCACTAAATTGCCCAGGCTGACTTCAATTTTGAGATCCTCCTGCTTCAGTGTTCAGAGTCGCTGAGATTATAGGCTGTAGGCGAGCGCCACTGCACCGGTCTAAAGAATAGAGTTCGCATTTGCTTGTAGTTGCTTAAAATATCTTTGCAAAGATCCACAAGAAACAGAAGATATTGGTTTCCTTTGGGATAGAGAACTTGGTTTCAGGGGAAAGTAGTGGGCAGAAGACCTTGAGGTATATTCATTTTGCACAGTTGACTTTTGAACCATGCTAATGTGCTACCTATATAAAAACTGTAAATATAAAGCGAAACAAAGGAAATCGGGGTGCCGTGGTGCATGCATATAATTGCAACGACTTAGACAAGTTCCAGGACAGCGTTGGCAATTTAGCTAGCTAGGTTCTTTAAAAAAAAAAAAAAAAAGGTGGGGGAGAGGAGACAATTGGGAATGTAGTTCAGTGGTAAAGAGTCCCCCCCMCACACACCAAATTCAAACACCATGTTGAGGGGAGAGCAGTAATTTAACAAAAAGAAGTACTTTCTGGACTTGCAGTTTTAGTATACTTGGTTTTATTAAGGCTGTAGTGTCTGTGGACTGCAGACCTTATGGTAATGGGTTTTTGGSGAATACAGGGCAGCTTTCAAGAAAGTAATATGTTCACAGGAGTTGAAGGAACACCCTGAATCATTTGGGAYGAGTCTAATTTTAAACAATTAGTTCCCTTGATCCTTTAATTTTCAGAGTGTGTGCTTTGAATTGGTTGAGGAACTATAGTCATCCTTGAATTAAGCCAAGGGCTTATGACAACCTGCTATTAATAGGAAATCAGTTACAGAACTGATGGTGGGATTGAAGGGCATAGAATTAGATATGTTGGTGAAGAATTGAAGTACACACAGTTGAAAGGTAAACTGCACTGTGTTTGGCATTTGAGAAGGTATATTTCAAATTGCCCTAAAGAGGTACACATCAATGTGTTGCCAATTCTAGTTTGGAGGAAGTTCTAATTTTTGCTACTTACTAGAACCCTTTGTGGAATATCTCCCTGCCCCCACTCCACCCCACAACTCCCTCCCCTTCCCCCACTGCAGAATACTTGAGTCCTAGATTCTAGTTCTATTTTGATCAAATCTTTGCCCTCCCTTCCTTGGATACCTGTGTATCTGTTGGTGCCAGTCACTCTCTGGGACCTGGACCTGTCTCATTCTGGAGGCTTCTAGACAGACACAGTTAGTGCCCAAACCTGGGAGATGGCTTCAGATGGAGGTAAGTTTCAGGTGGTGGGGGAGGATCCCTTCCATAGGCTAACATCCTTGGGGATTCAAATTTGCCCCTTCATCTGGGGACTAGCTCTTTAGGCTGATCTGGAGCTACATGAGATTCTAACACCTCCCCACCCCTGCTGCCACCAAAGGCTAGGGAAGAAGATTTTGCCATTAAGATTAGGGACTGAGGAAGGAAGAGGGCCTCCTTGGAGGTGAATCAAGGCTCCTCAGAGGAAACATTCTGAGTATAGGGAATGGATGGCAGTTAGTTAACAGCTTGATTCTCTGAAGAGGGACCACTTCAACATGTATCTGTATGGTGAGGGAAGAGCCATGTGCAGCAGCAGTGGCACAGAAAAGATCCAGGGAAAGGCCCAAGTTCCTGTATCTTCTTTAGGCTACTGGAGCCCAATCTAGAATCTTACCTTGAGAGAATAGAGCTAGGGTTTCTCTTTATGTCATGACGGGAAGTAGGATGATAGGTGTGTGTGTATGTGGGTGGGTGTGGGGGCAGAAGTGATTAGGGCAGGGAGAATTAGCTAAAAAACTGTTCAGAGGTGTTATCCATTGTAGGAGCACATACTCCTGAAATTGGGGCTGGAAGGTATATAACTGCCCCTGCTCAGAGCTTTACAATTCCTTCCATCCCGGGAGGTGGCTTCTCTTTCAGCTCAGGGTGTAGTCTTTATTGATTTGTCAGGGCCAGAGGAGGTGGGTCACTTCAGCCATGGTGAAAGCTGAGGCTTCCCTGAAATACTCTTGGTGTGTCTACCTCTGTGGAACTCAGGCCTTACACCTATTTCATCGTGGTTGGTACTTCATGGCAGGTCTTGGTCTCCTGTTGTATGGTTAAGATGAGTTTGAATATAAGTTTGCTCATATCCATTTCTACTTCCTGGTCAAGAAGCAGAAGTGGAGGGTTGTTGGTTTGTTGTTGAAGTATCCTTTGTAAGAAGGGGAGGAGAGGRCTGGGGTTATGGCTCAGGAGTAGAGCGCTTGTCTAGCATGTGTGAGGCACTGGGTTTGATCCTCAGCACCACATAAAAATAAATAAATAAAGGTATTGTGTCCAACTACAACTAAAAAATAAATATTACAAAAAAGAAGGGGAGGAGAGTAACTTGAAATTAGGCTACTTATGTTCTATTATTATTATTATTAAAAGTTCCAGAAGGTATAGGTCACATTAACTCAGTACACATTTGTGTGCTTATCCCTGGTTTCCTTGACTGGAGTMCACATGGCTCCTCCTCTGCAGAACCTGTGTTCTGGACTTCAATTGTGCTCTCCTTAGCACAGACTCAATATCATGTTCCTGTTGTGCCCTAAGTTTCTGATATTAGGAGCTCTAAATAGAAGAACTACAGATAGTCTGCATCACCATATTTTAATGTGTCCAGCATATTACTTACAGCTCTAGATACTTCCTTCCCCCTACTGCCCTCCCTTCTCCATTTCCTGGTCCTTATCTAATCCTCTCTAGTTATCCCTGACTGTTATGTAACAAAATTTCTGGGAACCAAACATCAATCCACACATCTCCTTCTGGGAACTGCACTTCCACAGAGCAGCTGGGAGCAGGAGGTTTGAATGTCTTGTTTGGAGTTGGTGGGAATGGTGTATGCTGGGCAGGATGTGCTGTAGGGTCTGAACTTCATGACTCCTAGAGTCAGTGCTCCTCATCATAGATTGCATCTTTCTTCTGTTGCTTTAGATTAGGAAAGGAAGTGAAGGAGATTGTAAGGAGCATCAGGAAAAGGAAAAGGAGGAGAGGTTGGGCCAATAATCTTTTTGGAACCACCACCTTCTTAAGGGCTCTGTGGGAGGAGCCAGAAGTTTTCTTGGACTAGTTTCTTTACTGCACAGGTGTCAACTCAGATCCTTGTCTTAGTAAATAGCATATGGGGCTCACAGGGAAGGTCTGCCAGGAATGTTCCTAAAGAAGCTCTCAGAGGTGGTGATGGTTTGGGCTTGCCTTTTCCTGGCAGACAAGGGTCTGTGTGCCTTGTTGAAAGAAAGCAACGTCTCTAGTTCAGTAATTCTCAACTGGGAATAAGAACATCAAAATAATTTGGGGACTGAAATCCCAGCAACTTGGGAGACTAAGGCAGGAGGATCACAAGTTCGGGGCCAGCCTCAGCAACTTTATGGAGACCCAAGCAACTTAGTGAGACCCTGTCTCAAAATAAAAAAATAAAAAGGGCTGAGGATATGGCTCAGTTGTAAAGCACCTCTGGTTTCAATCCCTAGTACCCCCCCCAAAAAAAATCACTTAGGGGACCAAGTGATTTTAGGAAGCAAGCTGCACAAATTCATCCATATCTTTTCCTTCACCTGTTGAGAATCAGTTCTCTGATTTTTTTTTTTTTTTTTGTGGTGCTGGAATTTGAACCCAGAGTCTCATGCATGCTAGCATGCTAAGCAAGTGACACTATCGCTGAGCCACGTCACCAGCAGTGCTCTGATTCTTATTCTTTAGGGGTTCTCAGATGGCCTAACTTCTGGCCTCCTTTGTCCTACTTCATTCTCTCTTTTTCTTTGTCTCAACAGCATCTCCACTTCCGGGACCAGATGTGACTATGAAACCTGGTGCTGCCCTATCTCCTTTTACTGCGCTTCCCTTTCCCCCACCTACTCCTGGCCCACCAGACCAGCCACCCTGGGAGCCATCTCCACAGCCCTCCCTGACTTCTGCATTCTCTCCAGGCAATCCTCTGGTGCTCTCTGCTTTCCCCAGCCCGCTGTTGGTGACTGGAGAAGCCAGCTCTGGCCCCAGTGGGGCTGGGACTGCGACTGGGAAGGTCATTGTCAAAGTCAAGGCAGAAGGGGGACCAGCTGAGCCCTCTCAAACTCAGAACTTCATCCTTACTCAGACAACCCTCAGTTGGATTCCCTCAGGTGCTCCCTGTGGGGGCTCTGAGGGTCCTCCTGCCCAGTACATTACAGCTTCTAACATGAAGCCCATCCTGCCCACTGAAGCTGTTGGGGTGAGCCAGGAGGGTCCCCCAGGCCTTCCTCCTCAGGCTCCACCACCAGCTGCCCAACTGGCCCCTATTGTGCCTCCAGAAAAGGCTTGGCCAGGGCCTCAAGGGGCACTTGGGGAAGCAGGTTCTGCATCCACCCAGAAGCCCTCACTAGGTGACCTGGCCTATACTTCCAAGGGCGTTTATGAGAATTTCCGTCGCTGGCAGCGCTACAAGGCCTTGGCCCGGAGGCACGAATCCCAAAGTCCTGATGTAGAAGCTCTTTCCTGCTTTCTTATGTAAGTGAGGAAACCTGAGATGAATTATCCTAGGGCTTTTAAATAAGGAGGACTTTGGGATAAACATAGGGGATTAGGCTAGGGGTTAGGACATGAGAGTGAGGAGATGCTTGAGAAGGAAAAAAACAGTAATAATCAGCCTCTTTACCCTCTTCCCAGTTTACAACAAGCTTTCAGATGTCTTCTTTCATGTGTGTTCAGGCAAGCATTTTTATGGTAATCCTCAGCTTAGAGACATGTTTCTTGTCCAGAAAGCAAGGAGCAGTGGTTGATGCTTAGGTCTTTCTCTCCAAGTATCAGGGTCCTCTGGGTCTATCTCACTGCCCTTCAACATTGAGTTGTACTATACAAACCAGAGGGAATGAGGAGTGCTGGGCTCTGACTTATTCYTGTAGGGGGAGGAGGTCAATGCTCTGCCAAGCAAAGGACTCTTGTGTGTGCCATTCCCCCACTATACCATTATACTCAGAAGTCAAGTTGAGATAGGATGCGGAGTTTGCTAGGCTTCACAGATTTGTGATCCTGGGCAGGACATTTCACACCTTTGCCCCCAGTTTTCTCATCTAAAAAGGGGATAACTGTACCTACCTCAGAAGGTTGCTGAGAAAATGAAAAGTGCTTGGCAGAGTGCCTGGCATAGAGAGTGCAATATTTTTTTTTTCAGAGAGAATTTTTAATATTTATTTTTTAGTTTTTGGCGGACACAACATCTTTGTTTGTATGTGGTGCTGAGGATCGAACCCGGGCCGCACGCATGCCAGGCGAGCGTGCTACCGCGACGAGAGTGCATTATTAGATAGTAACTATTTTATTATTATTATAAAAAGGCAATCTAAAAGAGGAAAAGAGCTCACAAAAAACCAAAGTGTCCTTGCTTAAGAGTGAACATATGTTTGGCCAAGGAGCCTGGGGTCATAAGCTGTTTAGTTTATAAAGCAGTCATTAGTCATCTGGGGAATTTTTCCTCCTTCCCAACCACACTGGCTGTCTCTCTCAATTTGTGCAAACCACTATATAACACATACCCCATCTTACATACTGGACCTTGAACAAACTTAGTTACTCTTCCAGTGCCATAATTCCTAAAAGAATCTCTCCTTTCAACCTGGAGTCCTAGATAAGCTAGTTTACTGATTTCCCTCTATTTCAAGTTCAGAGTTTTCTCTCGGAAGCTACCAGGCTGAATTTACAAATCTTGAGCCATTCTGGGTTTTCAAAGTTTGCTTGGGATCGGTTCACTTTTGGTCCTAGCCAACTTCTGCTGTCCATGTTCAGGGACCCTGGGAAGGTTCTCCTGCCAAGTGTAGTCCAGACACTCTACAACAGTCACCTGGGAAGCTGGTTAAATGCCCAGTTCTGGGATCATGGGGCGCTGCAATCCGTGTTAACAAGCTTCCTCAGGTGACTCCGGTACACAATAATGTTTGAGGACTCAAAGGAAAACTAGAGAGGTAAAGATGAAATCCTTACTTTAGTCTGGGCTCTCACTCTCTTCTGGATCAGAAAGGGTTCAAGAGCCTTCACAAAGTGAGGGTCTAATATTATATTGGAATGTCTGAAGTTGTCTGAAAAACCAATGAAGAAAGATACCAAACATCCTTTAGGTAGAGATTCATTTGGATTAGTGAATGTCTTTCAAAATGCAAGAGGCTCTGAACAGGGAGAGTTAAGCATACTTTATAGTGAGTATCATTCATTTAGAAACACAAGATATTTTCTTTGTAACGTTTAGTTGAAGATAGCACTGTGAGAATTAGGGGTAGTTTCCTTGGTTGATTCAAAAGGTGAGAAGAAGAAGAATCTATTTTATTTTGATTTACAAATCTCAGTGGGAAGAGAGGTGAATATAGGACTAGATGGGAGGTTGGAATTCTKGAAATCTCATCAGAAGTGGGACATGACAGGGCCTGAGGGTCATGCTGGATTTGATGAGGGACAGGGGATATGGACTGAGGTGTGCAGGGGACCAACTTTTGGAATGCGACTGACCCAATGGGGGTTTTAGCCCAGTGCTTCGCTCTCTGGCCCGCCTGAAGCCTACCATGACACTGGAGGAGGGACTGCCGAGGGCTGTGCAGGAGTGGGAGCACACCAGCAACTTCGACAGGATGATCTTTTATGAGATGGCGGAAAAGTGAGTCTAAATTTCATTCTCTTGAGGGGACTGTGTGGCCGAGAGTGGTGGGGCAATGGAGAGTGCCTGTGTCTAGGTGTGGCAGAGATTATTAACAGGGGTGTCAGGAGGGGAGCATAGGCTAGGATAGAGTCCCATGGATCCTTGCTTCTCCCTCCACCTTGATTCTGTGGATTTTTCTATTCTACCTATGTTCTTTTGAAAGCATCATCCCCTCCCCCCAATTTCAGATCTTAGATTTACGGACATTCATATTGAAGGTCTTAGGATGGGACTGGAGCCCAATATGTGTAAAAATTTCATGCTCAAGGGACTTAGTAATGAGGAGGTGAACCCTACTGGGTAGGTTTTCTCAGCTGTCCAAGTAGCAAGTGGCTGTGATATAGGACTTTGGGACCACCTTTCTTTTGGAAATAGTGGCACAGAAAATCCTTTCCTCTTCATCCCAGGGAAGGACTAGTTCTGAAGAGTTTGGTTAGGGGAAGCCAGGGTGCTGGCTCTTACCATTTGTCTAGGACATCTTTGGTTAAAAAACAAACAACAACAAAAAAACTCTTAGCTGGGCTCAGTGGCACATTCCTGTAATCCCAGCAACCCGGGAGGCCGAGGCAGGAGGATCACATGTTCAAAGCCAGCCCCAGCAGATTAGCGAGGCACTTAGTAACTCAGTGAGACCTGGTCTCTAAATATTATATTAAAAAGGACTGGGGATATGGCTCAGTGGTTGAGCACCCCTGGGTTAAATCCTTGGTACCAAAACAAACAAAAAACCCCAAAACTTGCTGGGCATGTGGTGCATGCCTGTAGTCCCAGATATTTGGGAGGCTGAGGTGGGAGGATAATTTGAATCCAGGAGTTTGGGACCAGCTAGGCAACTAGCAAGACTCCATCTCAGAAAACAAAGCAAATGAAGCCTTTCTTCCAAGCTTAGCTTCTACCTTCTCTCCTGTCTCGACCCATATTTCCTAGATTTACCCTTCCAAGGCCTCAGTCCCAGCTTCAAGGTTCCTGGATCTCAGCATTGCTTCCTGATGGAACCTGCCTTGAATTGCAACCAGGGTCCTGATTCAGGAATTCTGCCATTTTCTAGGATTGTGGAATGGGTGGGGGAGGTAAGGCCTTAAAGAGGAGCCCACTTGTAAGGTCCCAGCAGGCTGTTGCATAGGCCCTATTTAATTCAACAAGCCTGTATTTAGTATTACTGTATAAAATCTGTGCAGCTGGGAGAAACGGATATAGAAAAAAAGTAAAGGCTATATTGTTCTGTCCTGGAGGTTATAAGCTCTAGTTCATTCACTTCCTTAACAAACTTCCTAAGTGAACACTGTAGGTAAAGGGATGATGTAGTAATCTTACAAGGTTACCCCAGAACCATTACTAGGGTGCCTGTGAGCAGCTTCTCCCTGGGTGACTTGACATAGGCAAGACTTTGCCTAAATGAGGGCACTTCCTTTCTTGGCCATGCTTGGTTGCTGCCTGGTGTCTGGATTCCTAATGGGCTGGGTTTCCTCCACACCACCCGTACCTTAGTCACCCTCTACAAAACAGGTTCATGGAATTTGAGGCAGAAGAGGAGCTGCAGATACAGAATGCACAACTGATGAATGGTGCCCAGGGACTGCCTCCTGCAGCCCCTTTGAAATCTGATCCTCCAGGGCCACCAGTCCCTGAGGTTTGCCAGCAGCCAGGTAAGGCTGCCCAATGCCAATAGTAGAAATGAGCCCAAGGCTTGAAGGGAGGCATACAGAAATCAGCTATGGATTAGGGAAGGCAMGGCCTTTGCTCCTGCCACTCTTTCCAGGAAGTGCATTTTATATCCCAAACAGAATGCCCCCTCAGGAAGCTGGGTTTCAGATTGCCCTTGTCCTGAATTAGGTATTGATCTCAGTCACATAAACTAATTATTCTCTCATCTAGACTGCAGATGAACTCCATTGTACCTTATCTGCCTAAGAAATGGGGAAAGAGTTCCAATACTGTGACTCTCTCTCATAGCCTCCGGCTTTTAAATCTTCTCGCATGGTCTGTACTTTTTCAGCCTGGAATCATTTCAATGTACCCAGATTGCTGCCCTTACAAATAGAATTGGGAGGTAGAGGCCAAGGCTTCCTTGCCACTTCCCATTCCCCTAGTGCACAACCTGTACCACTTCCCACCCCTAGTGTACATTCCAAAGAAGGCAGCCTCCAAGGCACGGGCTCCCCGCCGGCGACAGCGCAAACCCCAAAGGCCTCCAGTTCCTGAGGCACCTAAGGAGATTCCACCAGAAGCTGTGAGAGAGTATATTGACATCATGGAAGGGCTGGAGGGGAGTCACTTGGCCACTGGGGAGTCGGATGGAAAAAAGGAGGAGCAACAGGAGGAAGAAGCAATGTATCCAGATCCAAGTCTCCTGGGCTACATTGATGAGCTGTGTTCTCAGGAGATCTTTGTCTCCAAGGTGGGCTGGGCTACTTTCTAGTAGGTCCTAGGGGTGGGCATGATGGGATACCAACCATCTGGGGTTCTGTCTAAGGCAGAAGGTAGGCTTTATTCTTTAACTGGTGGTAGTCATGGCCTTGTCTCTGGAGATCTTTGGCTCACAGGTTACTTCATCAAGGATTCACATCATTGTTCCTTCTATTCTCCAGGTGGAGGCCATTATTCACCCTCAATTTATGGCAGATCTGCTGTCTCCAGAACAGGAGAGAGATCCTTTAGCCTTAATGGAGGAGCTGGAACAAGAAGAAAGACTCACTCTTGCACAGGTAAACCTGGGAGGTAGGGAGTATTAGAACAAGATGTTTTCAAGATTTTTTCTTAGAACAGCTTCAGGATTGGGCTTTAGGTGCAGAATAGTTATAGGACTGTGGAAACACAGGAAATGAGAGAGTAAGGGGTCCAAGCATGAGAATAAGGCATGAGAAGGTAGGAAGAGCTGCAATTATGTCTTTGATACCATCACTTGAGCCATAAGCTTTTCTTCCCTGTTCTGCCCAAATACCGTCTCTACTGCCCACTCAGCCACCTCTTCTCACAACTATGTATAGAACTGGTATTTGTCCATTCTCTTTCAGCTGGTCCAGAAGCGACTCTCGGCCTTGGAACAGGAGGATGTGGAGACGCCTCCAAATTGCAGTGCAGTTCAGTTGGTCTCGAGCCATTCTGTTTCTGATAAGGATGAAGGTGGGGGTGGGAGGCCTCGGACCTCACCTGGGCCACAGGGGGGTACTGTTTGCCTTGGAAAAGCTGTTTCTTCAGGAAAGCAGGCAAGAGAAATGCATGGTGGGCAGCAGCGAGCTCTAGATGGTTTAAGGGGAATGCGCAGAGAGGGGAACACTCTGCCATCCTCGAGTAGCTGGGACCTGCAGGTAGAACTTGGGGCTTCACAGGGAACTCAGACACTCTTGGGTATGGAGAGAAAAGGGTCTAGGAAGGTCATAAACCAACTGTCACCACATCAGGAGGGCCATCTGGGAGGTGCTGGGTCCCCTGGGCACTGCTTGGCAGCTGACAGGACTTCAGAGGCTTTGCCCCTTTGCTGGCAGGAAGGCCCCCAGCCCAAGAAACCCCCTAGTTTGGATGTTGAGCTTGAAAAGCCAGCTCGTCCAGAAGGACAAGGGTTAGAAAAGCAGGATCTGGGGCTGCAGACAGTACAACAGATGGGGGAACTTGAAGTGCTTCCTCAAGGGAAAGAGCCTTCAGCAGCACTGCAGGAAGGCTCCTCAGGAACCATGTGCAGAGATGACAGAGGTCCTCCCATGGTTCAGAACTGTGATCAAAAACCTTCCCCTGGAGCAGCTGGGGACAGGGACAGGACCTCTCTTAGCCCAGGACTTTGGCTGAGCAGTGAGATGGATGCCGTAGGCTTGGAGTTGCCCTTACAAATTGAAGAAGTCATAGAGAGCTTCAAAGATGGGGAATGTATAACTGAGCATCAGGAACTGGGCTCCAGGAACAGCATTTCTCTGGGTTCTGGAGAAACCACGGTGCCTAGGGATGTGGGGAGCAGTGTGGTTCCCTGTGGAGAAACAGATGCCACAGCTGCCCTAGAAAAGAGAAACTACTGTAGYTTGTCAGTACCTCTGAGAGCCAATAGCCCAGTCTTGGGACCCAATAGAGAACAGGACAGTGATCTCTGGGCTGAAGGTTGTTCTCCACTGCTGGAAAGCAGAGTTGGTACCTCCACATTGGGGTCTTCCAAAGAAACTCTGCTGCCTGCATGTCAGGGCAATCCCATTATTCTAGGGACCCAGGATGCTTCCTCCTTCCCGGAGGGCAGCCAAGAGGCAGGGAGCAGAGGCAATCTCTTTTCTCCTCTGTTGGAAACCACAGAACATGAAAACATACTAGATGTTAGAGATAACTGTAGCCTCCAACTAGGGGTCAGCAAGGATACCTGTCCTACAAATTTTACTTCTGATGATCCTCAAGGAGTGGGCAGGGAAGACAAGGGTTTGTCTAAGCAGAACGACCTTGTTCCTTTACAAAGCAATCAAGACACCTTGACACTCAGGGCCTCCAAATCAACATCTCCTCACCAGGGCCTACAGAGCTCTTCCCCTAGATGGGGAACCAGGGATGCTTTAGTCCTGAGAGAAACCTCTCCTATGAATAAAACACACACCTCAGATGTGATAAAAGGAGGGGAAAAGGAGGAGGGGGAAGATGAGGAAGATGAGGGGCTCTCTAACTTTGCCTACCTCTTGGCCTCAAAACTCAGCCTGTCTCCGAGAGGGCCTCCCCTCAGTCCTTGCCAAGCCTCAGGAAGTCGGTCTATCCAAAGATCATCCTACCCCTCCACTGAGGAAAGAGGCCTTAGCCAAGCTCCATATCCTGTCAAGTCTGGAAAGCGGGCTGTAGTTGGAGGTCCAGCTGCTGCTGAAAAGAGACCCCAATCAGGAACTCAACTTGGGGTCCCTGGGGAGAAACCCCTGGCTCTGGGAGCTGTGCGACCCTCACAGCCTCGTAAAAGGCGGCGTGACAGTTTTGTCACAGGCAGAAGAAAGAAACGACGTCGTAGCCAGTAGGAAGCAGAGGGACCATCCTGACCCACCTGCCAGTCCCAGAGGTGGGTGCCCCAGAGTAGATTTCACTGCTGCTGCTGCTCACAGTGGAGAATCAGCCTCAGCCCAATGCTGTTATGTTCTGCAAGAGTGGTTGGTGAGGGAGGCGGGAGGTCAGATTGACCAGGTTGCAGGTGGTTCCATAGTTGGAAGAACCTTTGGAAGTTGTTGTATGGAATAAAATAAAGGTTTCTTTTGTTGGAGAATGCTCTCAATGTGCCCTTCTTCTACATGAACACCTTTGCTGCTAGATAGGGCAAGATGTTGTGAAAGTAGGTGGGGGTAGTTCTACAGTCTGGATCTAGGTACTTGACCGTGCCTCTCACCTTAACTTGGCTCCCTGCTTCCTTTTGGCAACAGATATTTAGGTTGTGATAGGGGCCCAAAACAAGAGTTTTCACATGATCAGATCACTTTATTCATTCCATCTACACAAGCCTGGACTTGGCATCAAGAGGGCTTTTCTGGATATTCTACTGTTACTTACCTTTCCTTTGCTTTTTTATATATTAATCTCTAGGACAGAGATCTAATTTCTTAAATCTAATTAGTTTTCCTTATTTGTTTCTAGGGGCCTTCTTTTCTTCCTTGAAAGGATGCTGAACAGAAAGGACTCATGTGTCCTCAGCTCATCCTCTGGCAGGGAAACTGACCCACATGGTTGGTCTGCCCTGTAACTGGGAGGCTGCTTCCTTACTGACATAGCTCTCTGCTCCCACTATGGGTGATGGAATCAAGTCTCAGTAGGATTATTAAATATGGAATGGTAGTAAGCTATTTTAATCTTTAATGAGGACAGAACAAGAGGGAATGGGCTGAAAAGAGGTTCATGAACTAGTCTATTAAAATGTGCATATTTAGGAGGTGATAACATAAAGGGAGGGTATGAGATTTCTCTGTATAATTTCTGTACAGGAAAGAGCCCTGTCTGGGAGTGAGAATACTCCTCCAGCTATGGCTAAGAGGACTGACCTTTGGAACCTTCTGGGTCTTCCAATGGGCATCCTGTAACCATTCATCCTTTTCCTTCCCAACTAATGATGTCATCCATGTGACTGAGCTTCACTTTTTTTAAATAGATATATATTTATATTTATATATAAAATAGTTTCTTACAAAAAAACCCAACCAAACAAAAAATTAAAATCAACTTAAAAAAACAACAACAACCAAAATCAAACAGGAGCAGAGATGGGGTTGAGGCATAGGGTAGGTCCCTGGCGCTGCCCTGAGTCTGCGGGGCTGGATTTGAGCTGAGGAAGAAGGGGTGGGTGACTGAGGCTCTCAGTCATCCTTCTGCTTGGGTGCTTGCATGGTCCCATTGGCCAGAGCAGTGGGGCTGCCTGGGGAGATGGCATTTGGTATTTGGGAGGTGCCTCGAGGGGTGTGTGGGGGGCGCAAGTAGGTGCTGAAGAGCTTCCCATAGAGTGGGTCATGGAGGGAGAAGTTCTGGAACTGACCTGGACAAACAAGAGATGGAAAAAAGTCAAGACCCAAGAATGAGAAGACGCCCCTGTAATCTACTCAGAACCAAGAGGTCCCGCCCCTCTTATCTCTGTTTAACTTCTCAAATCCAGGTTTTTGTCTGCTCTTCCCTTTCAGCCCATTCTTCCCAGCCTCAGCTCTCAAGACAGAGGTTTTATCCTCCAAACCAGCCACTAACCCTTGTTCCCTCTGAACCCATGCTTTCTTCTCCAAGTCCCTGGTACTGATGGTGCCTGAGTGCCCGAGCAGGCCGAGAAGGCAGTGACTCACAGAGGGAGAGGCCCTGGCTGGGTGCCTCCTGGCACAGCTCAGCATGCAAAGTTGAGGCAGCAGGGCGAGGTGAACCCAGTAGCAGGTGCAGGATGGTGCTGAAACCGTCTCTGTACAGCAGGCGGCCAGGCCCCTCTGCYTGCTCTTCGGCAAAGAGCTTGGGAAAGAAAGGGATGCAAGTCAAGCTGTATCCCCAAGACACTGAATCATCTTGCCCCACAGGTCTGCCTGATACGCTCCTCCTCTTCAGAAAGCACTTTGCATAGTCCCCCTCTGACCTTTACAGATCTTTTTGCAGAACTGTAAACTTTATAGCTTTTGCCCTCTTGTGGTTCCTTGCTAGACCTCAACAGAGACACCAGGGCTCTGTAGCTTTCGGAAGTGTGGCATGTGGTAGGACACCAAGTGCCTACCATCTAGAAATTATTGAGAATTGTGCACAACACCAGCCTCCTGATATGGGATGAGCATAGCCACAAGTGCCCCTCACTTCCCAGGTACCTCAAAGGCTAGGCGAGTCAGCTCCTCCAGGTTCCTGCCCCCATCCAGAGCTGCTAGTGCAAGTGCCACATCTCGGAAATCCACCAAACCCTTGGCATCCTGCAAAGAGAAACCAGGGTGAAGCAGGGCACCCTCCCTCCTGCTCTCTGGATTGGGCTCCTCCCTTTCCTAAGCAGGCATGGTTGTGATGCCTGTGAGCTCTAAACTCTGCAGGATTCCTGAAAGATTAAGAAAGATTGTAACCTGAAGGAACTATCTCAAGTYACTTGGTGACAAAGATCTCACAAAGAGATCTCCTAGGAATGTTAGGGAATCCCTCAGGAATGCCAAAGTTACTTACCATCAAGTATCTGACATACCACGAAGGCACTCCTGGCCCCCAAGCTGGACAAACTGGTTCTCTCCTCTGACTCAGCGTATGTGAGAGAACTAGTCCCACAGATTGAAAGGGGACCACTGGCCTAATTTCTCACAAAAAAAAAAAACCCAAGCAGGATGCCTGCTATTCAAGCTGTATGGGAGAACCACATAGGAGCTCCTTTCAGGAACACACAGTGCTTCAATCTAAGGAATCTACAAACTTGATCACTCTGTCCCTTCAGAGAATGTTAAGAGCCATAGTCTGTGTCTTAAATAAAAAAAAGAGCTACTTGGGGCTACTGTTGTTCATAAACATTAATAATCTTTTAAAATTATAACTTGACAGGGAAACTTAGTTGTATACCAAGGAAATTCATGGTTTGCCAAGATTCTTTTTTTTTTTTTTTTTAAAGAGTTTTTTTTTTTTTAATATTTATTTTATTTAGTTCTCGGCGGACACAACATCTTTGTTGGTATGTGGTGCTGAGGATCGAACCCGGGCCGCACGCATGCGAGGCGAGCGCGCTACCGCTTGAGCCACATCCCCAGCCCCTTGCCAAGATTCTTGAGACTATTCCAGAGTCTCATAGAGGAGTCACAGGCTATTAGAAAAAATCTGCCCCAGAATTGAAAATACTCCTGGATCTCAAATTCTCCACTGTCTAACCTATCAGTGGTGTGAAGATCCTCACTCAGTGCCCCATACAGTCATATGATGCCCCCATCTCTGCCAATCTCTAAAGTAGCTTCAGAAATTGATGGACCTCAGTTATGGTTTATTTTCCCACTTGTTCCTCCTGACAATAATTACAACACTGATCTTATGCAGGGCATAGTGACACATGCCTATAATCCCAGTCGGGAGGCTGAGGCACAAGAGAATTACAACTTTGAGGTCTACCTCAGCAACTTAGTGAGGCCTAAGTAATTTAGGGAGACCCTGTCTCAAACTAGAAAATAAAAAGTGCTGAGGGATATGGCTCAGTGGTTAACTGCCCCTGGGTTCAATCCTTAGTACCTATAACAAAACAAACCACTGCTCTTCCATGCACTGGATACTCACCAAAAAAAACAAAACAAAACAAAACAAAACAAACAAACAAAAAAAAAAACAAAAAAAAAAAACTTCCAATGGATCTCCGAAGATAATCATCTGTCAAAGGTGGTCAGAATACCCAATGGAGACTCTCAGCTGGGCATCCTACTGATATAGGCCAGTAGGATATCGCCTCTAATGCATGAGTATGTCAGCCTGGAGAGCAAGCCCTGGCCTCTGCCCTTTGCATTGTAGCTCCTTTACCTGCTGGAAGTAGCTGAAGGCACCAGCCACCGTCTGAGGGTCTGAAAGCTGTAGCTGTCTGGCAAACTCCTCCTGGCCAATCATTCGACTCCGGCTTGGCTCTGCCCCAGTGTCCACACAGCCAGGGGACAGCCTACAACAGAGTTGAAGGCAGAGCTGGATCCAGGATATACCTATATACCATGCAGTAGCACCCTGGCCCAGCTCCACACATTCTCCCAACATAGGTTTAGCTGCTGGATTTTTTTTTTCCTCCTCTGGCACAGGGAATTGAATCCAGGGAACTGACCCACTCCCTTGAAAGTCCTTATTTTCCTCACCTGTTAGTAGGTATCCTGTTTCTCCTCCCCCAGTTTCTATTAATCCTTTTACTTAAGAAGCTCCTTTAGCATCCCACTTTTTTTCTTAAGACTTTCCTTTCTCTCTCCTACTTCTCCCTTTTCTTTTTATTTTCTCTTTCTCTGTTTATGACAATGCTTGTACCTTCATCTTCAAGGTCACTTACCCTGCTTTCCGAAGCACCTTTCCCAGTTCCCAGAGCTGTGGCTCCAATGCCACCTTCAGCCGGCCCACCACAATCACAGGCAAGCTCCCTACAAACTCACATTCAGTGGCTGGAATGCCCAAGGCCCTATGGGATGAAGAGGGATGAGTGGAGAGGGAAAGAGGAAGCAGAAGAAATTCTGAGGGTTCATTATTAACTCTGGCCTACTGACCTAGGAGGGGTCAGGCTCCTTTATCTTTCCCCTTCTCAGCCTCAGCTATTCAATAGCCCTTCCCACTGCCAGGCCCCTAATCTTTGCCTCAAGACCTCCCCCATTCTCCCCCTCCCTGAGGTTCCTTTTTGCTGTGTATCTACTCCAGGAAATACTTTGTGGAACACTCACTGCGCCATGACCTTCTGGACATTGTTGGCGTAGAGGGTGGGGTCCTTGCTCTCCTCAAGGCTGGGCTGATACACAGGGAGGAACTAAAACAGACATGCACAATTCTTAGCAGGACCTCAAAAGGAGGGGTGACTATTCCTACTCTTTTCCCATGGCTTTAA